AGCTGCTGTGACAAAACTCTTCAGAATTGGACAAAGAAACTAGTTTTTAGATTTAAAATAATAAATAAACGTCAAGCAGTTATGGAAAGCAGAAGAATAGTGGAATTGCGTAACAAATACTCAGAACAAATAACTAAATGTAGACAAGAACAACGGCAAATTTTCTATTTGGACGAAACTTGGTATGACACTCACGACACAGTTACGAAAGGGTGGACTGATGGTTCGAGAATGTGTACGCCTAACATGCCTGCAAAGGATTGCGACTAATCATTGTGCATTGCGGAGAAAGTAAAGGATGGGTTCCGAATTCTTTGAAACTATGTGGAAAAAGCTTGAGGACCGCAATGTTGACTATCATAAGAACATGGAAGCTAATATTTTTGAGGAATGGTTTGAAAACACATTGATCCCAAATTGGGATGCGAATAGTGTAACAGTTCTTGACAACGCTTCCTATCATTCGCGACAGCTCATCAAATTACCGAATAAAAACTCGAGGAAAGATGGAATACAAAGTTTTTCAATGGATAACAATTTGTATTTTGAAGATAACTATACCAAAAATATTGAACAGTTTGATGTATAAGTTTGAAAATGTCCTTATAGAACGAAATTGCAGTAACATCAGTTACAAATAAAAGTGGTAAAAAAACAGAAAGTTTCAGCTCTCCTTTCCTCATCTAAATTTTCCCTAACAGTGACGAACTCTAAACTCGACTGAAATAATCCAACTCCTCTCACCATTTACTATGATTTGCTTGATGAATAGACCTCCTTTCGAATGACCAACCCAAACGATTGGTTTCCTTCCTACTCCTAGTCGAATTAGTTCTTCAATCATCTCTTGACTTCGGGTCACCATATCAGTTCTGAAAAGAAAAAAAAATACTTCCTTAGTACTTCACTAACTGCCACATGTTTGCTGGTATTTGGTAAAGCTTCAAATTGAAAAGGAGTCTTGAACTACTTACCGTTTTCTCTTTTTCGTCCACGACGGACACCACAGCACGTCCGTGGAGTAATTCAAAGCGATGACCCTCGCGTTGGGACAATCCCGCGGTATCCAATCCTTGGGCCAACAGTTGCTGTAGTCTGAGTTTTCGTCCTGATACTCCATCTCCCAAACATTATCCTGCTGGGTGGCATATGTACGGCCCTCTTTCCTCGCTATTTTCCTCGGAATTTTCGAGTAAATTCCAGATATAGTCCGTTTGAGGGATTGTTCCGTTTGTGGCACGTAGAGGTTGCCTGTTGATAAGCGTCTAACTGGGAACTGATTGGTGAGTTTGTGACCGTTTCGTCTCCAGGTACCTGAAGAAGAAATACTATTGTAGTAGACCCGAAAAAACCCGTATAATGTTTGGTTAATTGATCGGAACTTGCTATACATATGTAGGCACGTAAGAAGTTATATATATTTTTTTATTATTTATCGCTGTGACTTATTTATAAGTATAACTTCAAAAAATCTATGCCAACTAACCCCGGCCTTCCCCAACTCACACTTTGATTTTGTACATACCTTGCTTCCAAGTCCTGTCCAATCCGCCGTGCAACCCATGAACGAAGATCACATCGACTAGAACATCTTCAGGTTCCGACAGCACGACGCAATCCACCGACTTTTCCGGATCCTCGGAGCACTGTGCACCTTCAGTGATCACGGCTTGGTTTCGACCGTGCTGGTCCTTCATTATCCTCAAGGTCAGCGGCAGCGATATCCGCTGGACGGAGGCAAGCGACCGTGAGATTTTGTTCGCCAGGAAAGCTACCACCGCGGGAAGGACTTCCTGCCTAACATTGCGCAGGACGACTTGCGGAGGGTTCCTGAGGAAGGCGTAGAACACCGTCGAAACGGGGGGCAGAACGGCTCGGGCTACCAGCTCGACGGTCTCCCGGATCTTGCTGGACGAGGTCAAATGTCAAAAATTAGTGCTGTCGATTTATGACATGGTGACGTTGAATTGAGTTTGAGTCAATGATACCGGGTGGCAATGTTTTTGGGGATTGTATTTGTGTCTTCTAAACAAGAGCGGTTTTTTTTCAACAGTGATAAACTACACATAGCACGTTTTAGCATAGTTTTATTCACGAATGACTGAGATGCATATACACTGGTGTAGCGACTTGATGTTGTTTACGTGGACTGTTTTTTTGAAAAAATCACGCTGACATGAAACATTAGTCTAATCAGCTTTCAAAACAAGGAATTTCCATTAGAAAAAAGGCCACTTTGTGCCACGTTGAAGGAACTGCTAACCAGATTTAAATCCAAAGAAAACCTTACAAGTATTTCCATTTGATCTATTTCTAGAAAGGGATTATTATACTTGTCTGGTTTCTAACATTCAATCAGTAGGTAATGTGATTAGGTAAAAGCCTTACTAATTTTCTCACCGGTAGAACCTTCTCCAATCATCACCAGGCAAAACCGGCCTTTTGTCAATGTCATTGAATGACGCGCACCCAATTTTATGGTGACGGAATAAATCGACTTGTGTTACGTCGGTGATGAAATTAAATGAGTATTCACTGAGAAATTACAGTTCAAAGTATAGGTACTCATGAAAACGGACACAACTTTTAAAACAACCTAACATTTTCATGTTCAATTCATTTTTTTTTAAATATTTCATATGAACTTAGTATGACAACGCGACTATCCATGTATTGGGCATCCTTACCTTGCTGGCATAACCAAAAATGATGTTCTGCCAAAATGTACGTCGAGTTCTGGCGATATTATACACTGATCACACATTATATCTTCCACGTCCACCATTTTGTTATGTATCTGGAAAAAATAGCTAGTTAATTTATTCACTAGAGAATGTTATCATAAGTACGTCTATTATCGTTCTTCAATTCATGTGAATATTTTTCTGATGTACAGAGTTGACTGGACGAGTTTCATGGTTCATTTTCCTAGTTCGGACTTCCATTATCTAATATGATTCTAATTTAATCCGAAATCTATGCAAGAATGAATAAAATCAGAATGAAAAGCGAACATATCAGATATATTGAGTAATAAAACGTGAAATGATATCAGTTATATCAAAAATCATAGAGAAAGCCGTAATCTACCACATCCTTGAAACTTTGGAAAGTTTCAACATCTTGAGCTAGCATCAATATAGCTCAATATGTCACCCATATTTGGAATAACGAAATCGAGCTAAGAGTTGTTGTTCTTATAATAATAACAATAAACGTGAATCGCTACTTTCGCACAGGCACCGATTTTAGAGCGCCCCTTGAAAAAAAAAATAAAACGAATAAAATATTGAAGATGAAAGTGATCACAGATCAAAAAGAAATGAAAATAAGACAAAAACTGAAATGAATTATTTTTTAATATTCTCGTGAAGTAACTTGGTTTAGAATAATATTCCAAACCAAGTTATCGGTATGATAATGAAGACGGATAAAGTATTCGAAACATCACCAGATAAGTATACAATTAGAATACATTTCCGCGGTTAGAAATTTGAACATCTGATTTCGAGTTGAACCGCGTTCAAAATTTTGCGTTGTTCGACGTTTCGGCTTCGACTTTGACATTTTCAGGAAGTAGAAAANTATCCTTACCTTGATCGAGCCAACTATTTGTTGTTATTGGCGGTCACGGCCACTTTATAAAACACGTCGCATTATATAATTGCTTTGATCTTTCCTACTACACTCTTCTCGTTCGTGACGGACGAAATACCATAGAAAAAAAACAGGGGGTTTTTCCTGGCCACTAACTTCTTCAACATGTGCAACTATGATTTAATATGGACGCACAATGTTGGACTGGAACAAAAAATAGAAGTGAGAGTCAGCTGAGAACCTGTATCGGCGCAGATACGATTTTATTCAACCATTTGTTTACTTATCTGTAGTACAGCGAAATTAGGAATTTTGATAGTAATTCAAGAAAAACTTCCACATTGCATTCTTTCATTTTTTCCATCAACAGCGAGACCATGCTTGTTGAGGTTAGGTGTTATATCAGTTACTGTTACATATACCATTGAAAAGGTCTAATTACAACAGTTACAATGAAATTGCTGTTACGGCAACAGCTGTTACTGTTACCGATGAAAAAAAAATTCATTATAACATTTACTGACAAAAGTATTGTTACTGTCAACTGTTATATCAGTTACAGATACCAATAAAATGATCTTATTGGAATATTTACTGATGACAGTACTGTTATTGCGATAGTCGTCACTGTTAACTGTTATATAAGTTACTCTCACCCATAAAAGATTTTATTGATACCTTTACCGATAAAAGTACTGTAACAATAATCTGTTATATCGATTACTGTTACACATATCAATGAAAAGGTCTAATTATAACAGTTACTATGAAATTACTGTTACAGCAACAGCTGTTACTGTTACCGATGAAAAACTATTTCATTATAATATTTACTGACAAAAGTATTGTTACTGTCAACTGTTATATCAGTTACAGATACCAATAAAATCATATTATTGGAACATTTACTAATGAAAGTACTGTTATTGCAATAGTTGTCACTGTTAATTGTTATATAAATTACCCTTACCCATAATATATTTTATTGAAACTGTCACAGTAACAGTAATCTGTTATATTGATTAGTGTTACATCAATGAAAAAATTTAATTATAACAGTTACTGATCAAAGTACTGTTACAGTACCATTATACCATTTACTGACAAATGTATTGTTACTGTCAACTGTTATATCACCTACATATACCAATAAAAAAGATGAGAGGACTGTTACAGCGACGGTTGTTACTGTTGACTATTATATAAATTATCGTTACCGATAAAAATAACGATCTTATTATAACAGTTACAAAATTATTGTTACAGTAACAGTTATATCAGCTACTATTACTCATGAAATAAGATCTTATTATGACAGTTACATACCAGTTACTCAAAGAAGTAGAGGAGTAAACTGATAAGTTCGCTGCCAAAAGGTACTACGTAATACAAACCAGTCCAATTGGCCAGTATCTTGTCTTATCGATACATTTCACATACAAATTGAATAATCAATGTTAAAAATGAAATTTTAATTTCGAAGATTTGTACTTTTCCGTTTTCAAACCAAAATCTGTTTTTCCGTTAATCAGCTGTCGCCCTCATACGAACGTCAATTCTCAGAAGTTGAGAAACTTGTGGGAGCTAAGGATTAACGAGGTCTCACCTTTTAACCTGTGATTCCTAATAGGCTTTCTCTAGAAAAAAAGCTCAGTACATACATTATTTTTTTAATTGTTTGAATTTAATTTGCAGGGGAAATTTCTGAGTTGGATAAGTTGCTGACTAACTGGACTCTTTTACACTTCAGCACATTCTTCATAAAACCCAGAAAAGCAACGAGAATAATAGTGTCTTCTTTGTAAGTTCCATTGAAATAAATATAATTTCTTCATTAAGGCGTAACCACAGAATGGAACATCCAATGAAATAAAAAACAAGATGTGATAGTAATGATTTATTCTTAATGGCGCCACTTATGAAATAATCTAACACTTACTTATAAAAGTCGACATTTATATACATAATTTTTTATAAAACTGAAAACTAAGAACGATCTCAAAAACTAACTGAAAAAAAAAACATATTTGATAATTTGGTATATCTATTTATATTAAAATCACAGACACTAAATTTTAATCTGGCCTTCCTATATACAAATCTCCAAGATATCTTCTTTATACAATATATGCAACAAAAAGATACCAAAATGACCCTCTGGCAAAAATATTTTTTGAATCAATTAATTTACAAATGTTGGCAAGACATTGATTGATAGTTTTTTCTAAGATGCAGGTAATCCCCACCAAAAAAATCTTTGTAGACAAAGTATGTCCCTAAAAGTTACCTCCGTTCCAATATTTTTCAAAACAATTCATTTTCAACATTGAAAAATCCACCAGAGGGCGCAAAATCTGTACAAAATGTATACTTATCCCCGTTCATAACATTGACAAAAGTCTAACATTAGTCTGTAGCGTTGAAACACATACGTGGTTAACAATCACGTCACTGTCATTCAAATTTATTTACACTTTACTACAAATTTGTACAACCACTGATATCTTACAAAGCTCTCTGTTCGGAAATACCCATAATTCATTCAGGAGTTCCTCGAAACAAACTATAGAACAACTACTTTAGATATCGTGTACCTGAAGNGACAATAGTTTCCTCATACCTTCAATAATTATCGTGTTAATTTCTAAGCGCTTTGTTTAAAAATACTTAGAAACGATATAAATATGACATTGTTCATTGCCCTGATTATTCATTTAATGTGACTAATGTATTAATTCTTATCTGTTGACTTGGCATAAGATAGATACCATCGCGATTGTACAACTGGCTAATTCTAAACTTTGGTTCGAAACAAAAGGATGGTTTTTCTTTCGTTTTCGTTTTATTATTCACAAGAGACCCTGAACCTTTCTCTATAAATTGGATCGTTTTGTGGGGCGGAAAGAACAAATTAAACACATGATAATAGAAGACAACAAACACACTGTAGCAGGGCACCCCTCAAAATACTGTCTCAAACTAAATAATGTATTTTGATCCAAATTTGAATATACGTTTTTGAATTGAATTGGATTCTATGAAATCACAAGCAATTAAAAAAACCGATGAGTTTGTTAGTTTAGTATCTTTATACTATGGTTTAGTGAATGAGACCCTTTTCACTGTATCCGAAATATAGGGTGATTCAAAAGTGCCTACCAATGTTAACGTTCGTTATTGTTGATGAAAATTTTCAAATCGAAATTTAAATTGGTCTAACAGTGCCAAATCACGATCATTGTGACGCAAGACCAAGAAAATAGTTGAGTAGTCCATTTCTGACTTTTTGAGTGAAAATTTCATCTTTCTAATGATAAAAATACTTAATGTACCCATGTATCATTATTTTTAGTTATAAAAGCAGTAAAAAATCTGTACAAACTAGTACAGACAACAAAATTATAGAAAGAGTGGCATGAAAATATGGGAGAAAAAGCAAACCTAACCTCATTAACAGTTTGTTACACATCGACTTTTTCTAATAAATGTTCGTAGTTTCAAAATCATTGAACAAAAAAGTATATTCAAGATGAGAATTTTATCAACTAAAGTTCCGGAACTTTGACACTTTTCATACGTGAATATGTATTTTTGGAGAAGTTCCATTGCACATGATCTGATTATAATCAAATAAATTGTAGGTATTCTCTTCACAAAAAATATTGAATCAAGAATAAATACTATCCTTACCTTGATCGAGCCAACTATTTGTTGTTATTGGCGGTCACGGCCACTTTATAAAACACGTCGCATTATATAATTGCTTTGATCTTTCCTACTACACTCTTCTCGTTCGTGACGGACGAAATACCATAGAAAAAAAACAGGGGGTTTTTCCTGGCCACTAACTTCTTCAACATGTGCAACTATGATTTAATATGGACGCACAATGTTGGACTGGAACAAAAAATAGAAGTGAGAGTCAGCTGAGAACCTGTATCGGCGCAGATACGATTTTATTCAACCATTTGTTTACTTATCTGTAGTACAGCGAAATTAGGAATTTTGATAGTAATTCAAGAAAAACTTCCACATTGCATTCTTTCATTTTTTCCATCAACAGCGAGACCATGCTTGTTGAGGTTAGGTGTTATATCAGTTACTGTTACATATACCATTGAAAAGGTCTAATTACAACAGTTACAATGAAATTGCTGTTACGGCAACAGCTGTTACTGTTACCGATGAAAAAAAAATTCATTATAACATTTACTGACAAAAGTATTGTTACTGTCAACTGTTATATCAGTTACAGATACCAATAAAATGATCTTATTGGAATATTTACTGATTAAAATCTGTTTTTCCGTTAATCAGCTGTCGCCCTCATACGAACGTCAATTCTCAGAAGTTGAGAAACTTGTGGGAGCTAAGGATTAACGAGGTCTCACCTTTTAACCTGTGATTCCTAATAGGCTTTCTCTAGAAAAAAAGCTCAGTACATACATTATTTTTTTAATTGTTTGAATTTAATTTGCAGGGGAAATTTCTGAGTTGGATAAGTTGCTGACTAACTGGACTCTTTTACACTTCAGCACATTCTTCATAAAACCCAGAAAAGCAACGAGAATAATAGTGTCTTCTTTGTAAGTTCCATTGAAATAAATATAATTTCTTCATTAAGGCGTAACCACAGAATGGAACATCCAATGAAATAAAAAACAAGATGTGATAGTAATGATTTATTCTTAATGGCGCCACTTATGAAATAATCTAACACTTACTTATAAAAGTCGACATTTATATACATAATTTTTTATAAAACTGAAAACTAAGAACGATCTCAAAAACTAACTGAAAAAAAAAACATATTTGATAATTTGGTATATCTATTTATATTAAAATCACAGACACTAAATTTTAATCTGGCCTTCCTATATACAAATCTCCAAGATATCTTCTTTATACAATATATGCAACAAAAAGATACCAAAATGACCCTCTGGCAAAAATATTTTTTGAATCAATTAATTTACAAATGTTGGCAAGACATTGATTGATAGTTTTTTCTAAGATGCAGGTAATCCCCACCAAAAAAATCTTTGTAGACAAAGTATGTCCCTAAAAGTTACCTCCGTTCCAATATTTTTCAAAACAATTCATTTTCAACATTGAAAAATCCACCAGAGGGCGCAAAATCTGTACAAAATGTATACTTATCCCCGTTCATAACATTGACAAAGTCTAACATTAGTCTGTAGCGTTGAAACACATACGTGGTTAACAATCACGTCACTGTCATTCAAATTTATTTACACTTTACAAAAATCGATTTGTACAACCACTGATATCTTACAAAGCTCTCTGTTCAGAAATACCCATAATTCATTCAGGAGTTCCTCGAAACAAACTATAGAACAACTACTTTAGATGTCGTTCACAAATATTTGATAAAAAATATAATGTATGTATAAATGGGTACAAAAAATTTGTTTTCGGTTGTTTTTGATTAGAAGTCACCAAGTGAAAACACGTTGAAATGAATGCATTTCATTTTTTGAAGTCTTTTATTAGTTACAACATTGGAAATAACTGACCTCTCTTGACGAAGGCTGAAGTTGCTGAAATAGAGATCTATCATTTGTTATCTGCCAACAGTCAGCTGTCATTTGTCACATGTCATTTAGATTCCATTGTTAAGGTACGAATGACTTGTCACGATGGCAAAAAAAGAACCTTGCTACCTATTCATCAGGTAAAATGTCAAACAGTCATCTGTCACTTGTCACATCATTTCGATTGCAAGCCAACTCATCTTGTTGAGTAACCAATGACTGCAAAAAAAATAACCTTGCTACCAATTCATGGAATCAAATGTCAAACAGTCAGCTGTCACTTGTCACGTCATTTCAATTGCAAGCCAACTCATCTTGTTGAGTAACCAATAACTGCAAAAAAAAGAACCGTGCTACCAATTCATGGGATCAGATGTCAAACAGTCAGCTGTCATCCGTCACATGTCATTTCGATTGATATCAATAAAGAGAAGTGGTAGCTATTATTGGACAGTTGCTTTTTACCAAAAGACTTCTTGTTGAAGAGTACAGCACAAAAACAGTAATCATTATGGCATTTTTGCGCATGAGAAGTCTTAGTATGGAATTTCGAGGTAAGCTTCAAGCTATAACCTACCAACTTCAATCAATCCGCTATTTACATTTCGGGAAAACTCCAACTCCGTCAAAAGTTAAAAAAAAATAGTTCGCTCACTGCTTCTTCAAACTACAGTTACTACTCGACGAAGAGTCTGACGGCGGTAGTGAAAAAGGGAACGGCAGCCGACTCTGCGCCATCAATTCCGCGTAGAACTTCAGCTGCTCCGGGGAAGGGATCGACAACATGGGGCTGGAGGCGGCAGCCGCGGCGGCGTTCGAATAAAAATTCTGCATGGCGGCGGTATAGTACATGGCGGGATCCATCAGCGGCAGATAAGGCGAAAGACCTTTGCTCGCTTGCTCATACATCTGCGACAAGTACGGAGAGTACGGCAGACTAGGAAGATTCTGGATCGGATTGACTGGCTGAGACGGCGCCGAAGGCAGTTTATTGCTCACCTCCGGCTTGGCGAACGTGTTGGCGCTCGCTTTATGCTGCGGCAGAGCTGGTTTGTGTTGAAGGTGGTGCTGATCGTTTCTAGAAGATTTACTCTGAACGTAGTAGTCGTAGGTGCTCGTGGGCCTCTTATGGGGCTGCGCAGGCAGCGGGTACGTCTTGTGCGCGTTCGGGTAGGTTTTCCCGTTAGGTCCGACCAGCGTGATCTCCAGGTTCGGCCCCAACCGCCTTCCGTCCACCAGCTGCGAGTTCGCTTTATAGAGGTTCTTAGTGACGCTGTCGCGATTGTAGGGGGAACCCCCTTGGCTTTGCGGCACGCGCATGATCTCGATGACGGGCTTCTGCGGGCTGTTGACCGACAGATCCACCGGATCGCCACCGTTGTACCGCGAGTGACAGTCCACGAATCGCGGGGCGGACCCCTTCATCGTCGGCGAGAGAACGTCCTTCGGGTTGCCGTACACCGTCTTCTCCGAGTACGAGTAGATCGACTTGGACTGCACCACCTTGGGGGGCGTCGTACCGTTCGCGAAGGAAAATGACGCGGGTGCCTGTTTCTTGGTCGGAGTCCTCGGAGTCGCTGAAGACGCCGAGAGCGTCCTCTTTTGGTGCACCGTACTCGTGGGCGGCGGCATCGCTTCCTTGGCGGGCAGCGTGGCTTGGTGAATCACAGAAGGCCGGCTGTCTTTGGGAGAACACGTGACAGGCGTCACCTCTAGCCCTCCCTCTTTCAGGATGTCCAGTTTCCGCCTCTTGACTTCGTGAATGAAATTTTGTTTGAACGGGTCCGCATCTTCTACCGCTTCGGTGAGCTTCGGCTTGAAGGGGACCTCGATGATTTCCAGTTTGCTGGTCACTGGGGAATCGCAGGCTTTGACGAGCGGTATGTTTTCCTTTCCTTCGGCGGGAGACATGGCTTCGCTTACGGGGACTTTCGGATTCGTTGAAGGAGCCGTGCTTGGCTCTACGTTATCGACAACAGGTTCCTCTTTCGGCTCCTCCTTTACGTCTCCGGCTTTCGTCGACTCTGTTTCTACTGTCACGGGCGACCTCTGTACGGGTTCGATTTTCACAGAAGAACAAGCCAGGTTTTCGATCTTGACGAAGGAACTCTCCTGTGCTCCTCCGGGACTGTTTTGGGTTTTCACGACGTTAGTTTCGATCTTCACCGAAATCTTCACCGGCACATTTTCATTTATGAGCGTTTCTTCACTAGCCTCTGTTACAGCATTTTCACTTTCAACCGACGAACATTTACTCGTCACCGTTGCATACTCTATTTTGACAGGGTTGGTTTGAGTTATGACTGTCGACAGTTCAGTTTTGACGGTCATGCTTTCGGTTTTTATGATTATTTTTTCTATTTTAGGTTTCGACGGTTCAGTGTCGACCGTTCCGAGTTCCTCTTTGATGGGGGGCTGCCAGTTTTCGCTGCCGTATTTGATGTTGTTGTTGTTCTGCATGGTATCCTTCTCGCTCTGGACCTGTTTCTCTTTCTGTCTTTCCGGTTTCACTCGGACGCTTCGCAGCGACGAGGTTTTTCCTTCAGTTTTGACTTCCTGTAAGCAGAAAGATGCATTTCAGTATTGATGACCCCACGAATTATATTAATAAATAAAAATTGGGATAAAAACTTGGCACACATAAAAAACCGAACACGAAGAAGACTACTCTTGAAGGTTAGTACTTTCGAAGGTTAGTACTAACTGAAAAAGCGGTGAAGGCAATAACACTAGCCCCATCTATGTGTTACGCCCGAAACTTAACAGCCCACGTGGTACTTAGCCCGCGAAATTTGAAAATCCACCTCATCTTTTGAGCTGACCTCTAATATTTTTGATAAGTTCAACTGTTCCTCATAAATTTCTAGCCAAGATAACCACCTGTATTTTAATTCATAAAAACAAATGTTCACAACCAACAAACAAAAAATTTACCTTATTTTCTGGCGGAGTTATCACATCTACCGGTTTCTTAGACGTGGACGGTGTGGGAGAAGTTTCGCAACTGTTTGTTTCTGGATCGCTCGTACTATTGCTGCGTCTTTTGATTTTCAGTCTACGTCTCTCCGATGCGGGCAAGGGTTTGTACTCCTCGCCTCTGACGTGGCGTTCGTAAGATAACAGAAACCTTGAAGAAACAAAAAACATGTTGAGGAAGACATCCACTGATATCTCAGATGGTTTGAAATGTCGAATTAGAGATGGCCACCTCCACTATTCAGTAGAGTTGCCATGGAGACCACCGGACATGACACTGCTAGAGTTTTTCCTGTTTTCTGTACCAGGCGCAGGAAACAAGATTTTTCAATGAAGTTGAGATATTTGAAGTCATTTTCAACAACGATGAAATAGTTGTACAGCATGTTTCAGGGAGTTGGGCCATACTATGATTGATTTTGGGAAAAACAGTTATTGTTCATGAAAGGTTCTGCAATGTTAAACATCTATAACGCAATCGTCTGTTATCAAATTCTTAGAGTCGTATACAGGGTTTGTCACGTTGTCGTCAATTGATATTGGGAAAAGTCAGATTTAAAAATCACAAATCAATCAAATCAAATCAAAATATGCTTTATTACCCAAGATCTGAACATCTTATTGGAAAAGTCTAGTAACGTAAACCGTGGTATAGTTGAGGTGGTATTAAATTGATTTTTATATACTTTGTGGATGAGACACACTGTTTCCAAAATAAGAAGACATCCTAACGTCAGACTTTTTTGCTTCACAAATATTGGGCAGCATGAATCCCTGTAGCTAGCCTTGCATAAATATCTGATGGACCTTTTTTGTAGAAAGAATACCATATTGAAATGAAATTTCCCCAGAAACAAATTCCATGACGTAAATAGGACTCAATTTGTGCAAAATAAACTGATCTTGTGATAGTAGTGTCTAACTCTCTTGCAAAAACTCTCACTGCATGACATCCTGCTGCTAGTCTTTTACATAAGTAGTCGACATGGAAATCGAATCCCTTATGTTACATCTAAACGTGACCACATATGTTTTGTCACCATCGTCGAGACGATGATTTGATCAAGTACATTTGAGGCGATATTGCTATGCCAGAGGATAGTGGTGTCGTTAGCGAAACATGTAAATTTACCACTTATGTCAACATGGACTAAGTCACTGACATAAATGAGAAACAACACCGGTCGCAAAACGGAACCTTGTGGGACCCCACTGCTGATGAAATTCCCTCTAATGGCCGCCGCAGATTTTCTTTCATTGAGATTGGCGTACAGGCTTTCCAGGAGTGAAAATATGGCGTCTTGTGTACTTTTTGAAGACTGAGAGCCAAACTGGAATAAATTCATTACATTGTTTTTCTCGAGGAAGGATATTACTCGTTTTTTTTACCAGTTTTTCTATAACTTTAGACAAGACGTGTAGCAAAGCAATTGGCCTAAAATTAGCTGGGTTGTCAAGATCGCCTCCTTTATGAAATATGCGACTGAATTAATGTACATTTTTTATTTCTCGAAACTTATTTGAACAATAAAAATGATAATAATAACCCTTAATGCTTCATTGTGTGCAATATTTTTCGTTAGTCCATGCTTAGCTAACACAAACAAACTTGACGTTTGCCAATGGTGTGCTCAAATCCAAGCCACAAATGGACATTGTTTGGCCTTGCAAATGCCAATCTAATTGGAAATTGCACACGTTTAAAATGAATTGGCACATCTATAGGCATAACAGAGATACGTGTTACTAATATATTTTCACCTCGGAACTTGCCAGTTGAAATGCTGGCTTTGACAACGCTTTTCATTGATTTTTTTAATGACTGATCGCGTGCCGTTGCACAGCCGTGTCGGATTCAAGTTACTGACCGTTACAACCTTCAGTTGTGAAATATGCGGTGACATGTCTGGCAAATCCAACTGAAAGAATTTGATAACCGATGGTTGTACTTTGCTGTCCCATCTGATCCATCTCACCGAGACATACTGCATAAACTCTCGAATAAATACCTTTCGTAATGACGCCTGATCACTGTAGCTGCACTTGTACTGTTTTGATGTCCGCTCATGTCATCGAAAATGTTTTTCCAAAGCTTGTTTGTGGTTACACAGTCGTATCCGCCTAGTTTTTGGACTTTCGTGAAGAATTCATGTAGATTCACTAAAAAGTACAGAATTAAGATTTCACAGGAACTGTTGAAGAAAAAAAATTAAAATTGAGGAGGGTGTCAAACCGAGAAAATAACTTATTCGAACATGACCTCTTGGTATATTGGTTGTTTCAAAAGTTCAGTCCGTTTTAATATCATGTGTTTTTGTAACTCTATATCACAATAAATATTTTTTCTACTTTGTCTTGGTATATTCTGATCGATAGAGAATTTTCTATTCTATACACTGATGCTGCTAATTTATTACCAGATTTTAATTTTTTGCCTGTTTTCAGTTTATTACTATAAGGCTTTTGACCGCGTTTAGTATTGAGATTTGCTGGCCAAACTTCAACATCACAGCTTGTCGGACCATTTTTGTGTATGTTTTTACCTTCCTCAGGCATCTTGATGGCTGTTTCATTGATTCTCCGACAATCCTCAGTATGTTTCTGCAGTTTTTCTTGGGATCGCTGTAGGCAGCGAGTTCTGCCTCAGCCACCATACTCTCTAGACCTCTCGCCAACTGACTACCATCTTTTCAAGCCTCGGTAGAATCTCCGCCAATCAAGACTAGGCGTTGATTTAATCAAATCCCGGAATTAATCGATTTGTGTTAAGTTGGCAAAACTGCACAGATTCTAATGGCGCTCATTTCGATTGAATTGAAAATGTATTCAGTGAGATACTACAGCTTGAAACGGACAAAACTTTAGAAATAAACCTAATATTCATGAAGTATGAAATGAAATAACTCCTACTCACAAATTAACAAATATTTTCCAGTCGAAAACTAATCAATTACTGTACTGTGCTCTCCAACGAACCGGTGGCGAATATAAAAAATGTTCAAAAAAACTTCAGTTTTTGTACATACTCAGGTACCTAATATTGGTAGTATTTTTTACACTCATCAGGATTATATAGATGGGTGAAAGTTTTTTTTTTGTCTTGGAACCTGTCTCGTTTTGCTCAACTGGACATAGAATCCTTTCTTCGGAATCCACTTTTGGAAAAGGATAGAAAACAGTAGAAACAGAGAGAGACGAAGAAATAAGGTGGTTTGTTGTACATACAAAGTGTTTCTTAATTTTAAGCCAATATTCAAGGGTATTAATCTACATAAAACTTGGTTTTAAATGTTCTTCAATGATTTGGAATTATATTTTCGAACGGTTTTATTCAGCTTGCCTGTTTGTTCATTTGTTCATTTATTTGTTTGGGTTAGATATAGTATAGTCTAATCAACAAGTTCAAAAACATGAAAAATAGAGATAAAGGTCCTAAAAATATGAGTTCATTCGATTCGGAATCACCTCTAGAAAAATGTTTTTGAAAGATTTTGGTGCAGGTAAAAAATTGCAATTGTTATTAACAAAATAAGATT